GCGTGTGTGTGTGTGTGTGTGTGTCTGTGTGTCTGTTTGTGTCTGTGTGCCTGTGTGTTCAACCTTTAGAAAAGAATAAGAACAGATCACTAGAGAGAGTTGCCTGCTGAGGAACAAGAAACTAAGAGTTGATCTAGCTTTGAGTTTTCTGTAGAAAAATGGCAAGGAGACCAAGCGAGTCTCAGTGAGAATTTCATATAAATGGTGAATATTTTAGGTTTAAAGCTAAATCTTACATCCTTCTGCCTCCCATCATTTTGGGGCGGGCGGGGGGGGGGGATTGGCAAATGGAATAACCACTACTACAAAAACTAATCCTTAGTCCCAATACATGTGCGATCCTGCTTTGACTTCTCTAATGGAGTATTTCCTCAGTTCTCACACCAGCCAATGAGGATAAGGAACTTGTCTAAAGCCACTCAGTCAGGAAGCAGGAGAATGAGATTGAAATCCTAGCCCTTCTGCATCATCCATACTATACTGGAAGGCTGATACGCTGCAGGTGTGAATTGCAGTGTCTTTGGGTGAGTCTCTTTCCCCTAGTTCCCCTCCTTCTGTGTCTCCATCTTTTTTCTGCCTTTCCCCCACCTGTGCTTATAGGGAGGGTGTGTCTCTGAGCTAGAAACTCTGGAAAATAGAAAGTAGCCCAGAGGTTTCTTAAGAGATTGTTTCTTGTTCCCCATTGTAAAGAACTTTTGAGAAGAAATGAACACATTTAATTCCTTGATGGTGTTATTAAAAGCTGAAAATTATCCTAAAAATTGACTTTCTTGGTTAGTATTCAGATACAATGTGTCTGTATAAATTCTTCCCAGTGAAAGTAATGACTTAAGTGGTTTTTCTCTTTGAAGATGGTGCGGGGCGGCTGATTTCTTCTGTTGTCAGATGAACCATCAGTACCAGCTGCTTTGCATCTCATGAGTCTTGTGACATGGGAGGAGGGAGGAATATCTTCTCCTGTTCATTTGTTTACAGTTTAGTCTAAATACAAAATAAAAGAATGTAAAATCATTTGAAAATAGGGTATTAATGTGTGCAAGAAGGATGGTGGTGGTGTAACAGAGATCAGAGCAGCCAAAGTCAGGTGAGGACAGGGAGTTTAATTCCATGCTAGTGGGACTGGCACCCGGATCCTTCCGTAAAGGAGTCAGCCCCTTGTTTAAGTTTCTGGGGACTTTTATACTCATATGTGAGGAATACAAGCAAAATGTATGTAGCATATGCATGGTAATTAATTAAGGTAACAAAGCACAGAGTTTACAGGAATGCAAAAATCGGAAAGCAGAGACTTCTATGGGGTGACCACAGCGGGAGGGGTTTCCTGTTACCTCCCTGTTCTTATTTCTTCTCTTATCCTGGGGCCTTTCAGTGTCCAAAGTTCTTAGCAACCATTACATTGCAAGAATTTTAGCAACTCTCCGGGCCTTTACTTTCTGTCACAACAGGAAATAGAAGTGTCAGGAACTGTCTCCTAGGGAAAAGAACATGTACACTTTAATTGTAATTAAGTGACATGCACATACAAACCATCATAACAAAGCAAGGAGGAAATGCTTTTGTGACAGTCTTCATGAACTGGTCCTGTACCCATCCTACTAGTCTCTCCCCACTCCTCCACCTTTCCCTTTAGTAAGCTCTCCAGCTATTCATGAATCTTTACCTGATGGGCTGACATTCTTGCGAAGGTCACCCATGATTTAATTCCTGAAGGGTCTAGGACACTTGTAGCCTTGCTTGGATGGTTTTTTTTTCCCATTTTTTTATTAACAGAAGTCATAGGGCATGGTAATACTGAGAAATACTGTATAGAAAGGATCTCCTGTATTGTAGGCATACCCTTCTTTACAGCTGCCCATTTTCCCTTTGGTAATCAGGATCAGTCCACCCTCTAGCCCAGTAACTCCTTACTTTGCCTGTGGTTCTGAGGCTTGAAGAGCCGACAGCTGGCGGTAAACAGTCTTAACTTCCAATTCAGTCAAGTCACTGTTGTGTATCCTGGAAGCATTGTCCCCCTTGAAACTAATAACTCTAAGCTAGTAGAGCTCCCTGTCTTGGAAACAGGAAACAAAATTTTGCTAATGTGTCACTGAGGTTAATAATGGACACTGCTACTCTACTCCTTTCTTGATTCTTGGACCTGAATCCTGGCTACAGGCAGAATAGCACTTACATATCTGTTACTGATCCAGAGGATCTATGCCTTCTGGAGGGCACCCAGACCTGTACAATATTGGTACCTATCTGGGAGTAATTGAATCTTCAAAAGGCCTTTCTTCTATACTATCTAGCCAGCTAATTCAAGATTGTCGAGGATACAGGAAGACCACCGAATTTTATGAACAAGAGTCTGCCGATAATACATCTTCAACTATGAACTGGGTTCCTTGGTCAGAAGCAGTGTGGTATTGGGTGCCCTGACAGTAGATGCAGCATTCTGTAAGTCCATAGATAGTAGCATTTTATGCAAGGAGAGCAAATCCACATCCAAAGTGTATGTTCTAGGAAAGATGGAGTGCTGCCCTTTCCATGGGCACTTAATGTTTTTGCTATCTGCTCTCCTTGCTGAGTGAAAGTTGGTGTGGCTGAGCTTGTGTGTCACTCCATCCCCACCACCATGGCCACGGCCACTTTGTTCATTAGCCCCTGGATAGTGACAGGTATCTGGCAAAAGAAACTGATGGATACCCACAGAATAGGTCATCTTACCTATTTGGTTATCAAAATTTTCGTCTGCAGAGTTGTGTCCATCCACATTATGATATAAATACAGTTTGGGTTCTGTTTGTCTGTTTGAGGGGTTTTTTGCCCATGGAGAGAGGTCTATCTACCTGTCCTTTCCAGATTACCTTGTCGCCAGTTTTCTACTCATGTTCTTTTAGTTTCCTACCAGCCAGCCAAACCACGAGCCACAGCTCGCAAGTCAGGCTGTAACTGAACACCTACTAAACTTTTTCACTAGGCTTTTAGCAGATATCATAAGATTTTACTCATTTCTGATGACAGTTTTGTAGGCTTTTTAAATGTATGCCAGTACCAGTTCTGTAAATGTCTGGACACCTGTTGAGTGTCTTTCGATTGAATTTTAACACCAACTACCTAGAGTTGGCATCAGGTTGCACAAGCCTGTAAGAGTACCCTCAGTCAGTTACAACTATTGGGTCCCCAGTTCATTCAGACTTCTGTTTAGCTTGGCTGCAAGTTGGGGTCTCTTCTCTAATCAGGTTGGATAGTTTGCTAGAATGACTTAATAAAATTTAAGAAGGATCTATGCTCAGTGTTCTCAAGATATATTAAGAGCTGCAACTCAGAACAACCAAATGAAAGAGAAGATACTCTGGGCAAGGCATGGAAAATAGCAAGGGACAGTTTTCTTGTGTTCTTCTCAGGGTGTTAACTACTGTGAACGCTACCTGAGCTCCCATGGTTCAGAGGTTTTTATGGAGATCTTATTACTTCATCATAACTGACTGAATCATTGGTTACCATTGTCTATCCTCTTTGTCTCTATGAGGGAGGTTGGGATGTAGATGAACATTCCTACCTGCTAGTCCTGTGGTTGGGTCCTTTGTACCTAGCACCTACCTTGAAGCTATCTAGGGGTTCCTGGCCTATCTGTTCATTAGCCTACCAAGAGGCATTTTTACCACTTTGGAGATTCCAAAGACTGTAGAGAAACTGTGTCAAGACGGGACAAAGCCAAGTATGTATTTATTACACAGCATGAAGAGGAAGGAGAACTATATTAGCAAGGGACCAAATGAATAAACTATGGTGTACGCACATCTTGATGACTACGTAGTGAAAATAAGTTGACACCAACCTGTCAATAAAGATGAATTTCATAGCATAACGTTCGGTTAACATGATTTTTTAAAAATATTTTATTTATTACTTTTATGTGTATGTGTGTACCCGTGTTGTACAATGCCTGCATATAGGTAAGTGCACCCGTGTTGTGCAATGCCTGCGGAAGGCAGAAGAAGCCATCAGATCCCCTGGAACTGGAGTTATGGACAGTTGTCAGCTGCCATGTGGGTGCTGGGATTCAAACCTGGGTCTTCTGCAAGAATAGTCAGTATTCTTAACTGCTGAGCCATCTCTCCAGCCCAACATGTGTTTTTCTTAAAGCTTAAAAGCAGTGCAAGGCACTGGAGTTTTCGAAATTTAGTATTAAAGTTCCTTCTAGTTTTAAAATATTTTTTATTTTTTTTTTTTTTATGTGTATGAGTGTATTGCCTGCATGTATGTGAGTGCACCCGAGTCATGCAGTGCCACAGAGGTCAGAAGAAGGCTTCAGATTCCCCTGGAACTGGAGTTAAGGACCGTTCGTAGCTGCCATGTGGGTGCTGAGAATCGAACCGGGGTCCTCTGCAAGAGCAGTCAATGCTCTTATCCACTAAGCCATCTCTCCAGCCCCAGTTTTAAAATATTTTAATAATATATAATTTAAAAAGAATTAAGTTCTCACAAAATAGTCACAAAGTTAAAACTTTGTGACCTCTTATTTCCTCTCTGATAAACAACTTAGATCTTTCAACTGTTTATTTTGTACATTGGCTTTGTTTAAATGCTGAACATTTCAGAAATAAGGTACTTAAGAAAATACAGAAAATTAAGACTCTTCTTTTTTCTGTACTAAAGAAATAATGCCCTGATTCAAAAATGTGAATTTTGTGGAAACCTCTTTCCCATGCACAGGACCAGCAGATGAGGGGTCATAGCACACCTGTGAGGGGTGGGTGCTGGCCTGGGTAGGCAGGTTCTGGGCTAGGTCCCTCTCTTCTATAGCAGCAGGCACATTTCATTGTTAGCTGAGGTGTCTGTTGGCTCAGGGTGCTTGTCAACTCTCGATTCATGTAGGCCTCATCTGCACCTTCACGAGTCCTCACATTCTCTTTCAACCTTTTTCTTTTTCCTTCTGGAGTTTGGATACTTTCTGGAAGTAGCCTTGGCCAGTTGGTTTCCTTCCTGTGGTAAACATTTTCATGCTGTTTCTCTAGGTTGTGCTGGTGCGGTGGAATGAGCCATACCAGAAACTGGCCACATGTGACGCGGATGGAGGAATATTTGTGTGGATTCAGTACGAAGGCAGGTGGTCTGTGGAGCTGGTCAATGACCGTGGAGCGCAGGTGAGTTGGGGGGCAGACATCCTCCAGTGAAAGACCCCAGAGATCCCCAAGCCCACTGTCCTAGAGCAAACCTATCAGCCTTGCATTGCACTGAAACTCTTTCCTGAATGAGGTAAATACAGTGAGCTCTTTCATTCAGCTGAGTACGGGTGCACGGTCATGCCGTCTTCGCCAGCCAGGCTGCTGCTGCAGAGCTCTCGGTGCTGTCAGCACAGTCACAGTCAGATGTGATTACATGTTACACTTGGATACTCGGAAGTGCTTCCAGCATATCACGTCTTTGCTCCCTTTAGAAGGTATTGTCCCTGTGTTGTGATCTTTATACTTCGCGCCCCACGAGCTCCACAGGATTATTTCTCACAATCTAGTCCCCAAGTGAAGAGTTTTTAATGCTTTCTGTCGTGTTTCCATTAGCGTGGCCACCTGTTGTCATCTTCAGCTCTTTCCTTTCTGATACAGTTTGTCTTCACTCTGAGGAAAACAACTGCTCCAAGGACGCCCTGCTGAGTTGTTGTTATTTCAGAACTGCTGCATAGACTTTCTGGCTTGTGGTACAGCTCCCCCTCCAGTGTGAGGATGGGCTGCCTGACACAGCTCCTCTCCTGTGTTTAAGGACACTTGTCAGAGCAGGTGGTTCTAGAACACTCAGCCTGTGGAGAATGAGTCCTCAGGGAGCATTTATTGAGGAAGGGTTTCTTGTACTATTTTAGCTCTCCCTCTCTCCTAGAACCATTCCCTGTGATGGCCTTACTACATGTTTTTAATTCACTGAATCATCACCCTCTCCTTTCTCACCTTGTGCTTAAATAAGGTATGAGCTTCCCACATTTGAAAGATACTGACCAGTCAAGTGACATAATATTGTGAAACATTAAAATACTATTGTCAGTGAATATTTATTAGGCTGAGGGTTTCTGCAAGATGTCATCACAAAATACCTACCTCTTTGTGAAAACAGAACATTCTTTCTGTGAGTGTATTCATTTAGCACAATAAACACAACAGAATTACCTGTGTCTGATAAAGCCACATTCATTTCTGGCATGTCTCCTTTGTGTAAGGAAAGGAAGAAGTAGTGGCTGCCCCATGGCTACTAATCAGCAATTAGAAGCAGAGCTGTAAATGTGGCAGTCTGCAAGATCACGAGAAGTCCATGTCACTCTGAAGGGTCAGAAACATGACCTGCGGAGTCAGCAACATAGGTCAGAAACCCACCATGTGACTTCTGAGTGGAAGGTGGTTCTCGCTGCCTGTTTCCTCATCTGTAATACAGGGATGGCAATGGTTTCTGCCTCAGAGGACCACTGTGAGGATAACATAAAACTGCATGTGAAAGCTACTTAGAACACTTATCACCATCTGGCAGTGGTCACTGCTGTGGCTGTGGTGCCTGCAGTCGCTCTCAAGACTCCTATCTCATACCCCAGCACAGAGCCTCCCTGTCCTCAAACAGTAGCCAAATCTCATCCCAAAAGATAGAGCAACTCTGTGTGGATTCAGAGAGGAGGGCACTGCTCTGAGGCTGCCCGTAGGCTGTCGGAAGTGCCGTACTTCCCCATCTAGCTAAGGCGTAAGCTTGCATTTCTTTCTAGAAAGGCCTAGTGATGGGGTGTGATGTGCATTCAAATTCAGGAATACTTTAAATCATTACTGAGGATGAAAGGACAGGGGGTGCTGAGACATGTGCCAGCTGAGTGCTTGGCTTTTTCTGCATTTTCCTCTTAATCTTCACAGGAACTTTATTCTGAAAATTTGGTAATGCTCAGTTAATAGAAAAGCCCAGGTCAGGGGTGTTCAGTAACTCGACCAAGGAAATTCAGTAACTCGACCAAGGTAAAGTGTGAACTCAAACTCCATTTTCATTCCAGAACATTTCCACCATACTGTTTCTAGACCAAAAATAGACAAAAAATTTAAAAAGCAACCTGTATGTTTCCTTCCAGAAATCCAGGTGTTTGCAGTATACTCTCAAATGCCCAAACTTTATTATTGTCTGAAAGACCCACCCCATGAAGGAGCACTACCACCCCATGGCTTCCTCCTGGCAGCATCCTCTAAGTACCCCCCCGCCCTCACCGCATCACCGTTAATCTCTACTTCCTTGTCTCTCCATGGAGAGTTTGGAGCAGACACACATGTCAGAAAGAGTGAAGGATAGAAGCGAGGGCTGGAGGGGCATGAGTCATGGGACCACGAAGCATCTGGCAGCACGCAGTGCATGTACCTGTGCCTGTGCCTGCTGGGTGCTGCTGGAGTAGTTGCTCTATCCTGAGACCTTATTTCAATCTTTATATACTTTTACTTATTGAAACGGATTCTTCAAGCCTTAGAACCCATTGACCAGCTGTCATTAACTGACATTTTGGGGTGTCCTGGTTACTTTTAATAATAATTGGAGTCAGATCTTAGAAAAACAAAAACAAAAAACCCACCATGCGCAGTTGATGCTGAGTCACTGGTTGAGGCAGTGGTGACTGTGTGCTCTATACACTCAGTAAAGGATCTGGTAGAAAGAGCAGTTCTGTAGCTTGAAGAAGGAACATCCTTGAAGCCAGGTCAAAGAAAAGCTTTAGCTGGAACAACAGGTGATACTTCCTGCAGAACATAGCTTTCATTGTCACAAAGCAGTTGGCAAAAGCTAAGGGATTCTTTGACAGTATCTCTTTCAGGAAATGATTACTTACTTCGGAGTGAATGAGAAACAGTGCCTGCATTCTTTTACGGTGTTAGTCACTGAAGATGGAAGTGCCAGGCACGCATGCATTCAGACACTCTGGTGAAAGCCCACCTCAGGCAGTAGTATGGCTTAGCGTCAACCGATCTGAGAACTCTCTGTAGTTGAATCCTGCTGGGTTTTCTAGCATTTGGTGCACTACTTGTCTGGCCTCTCCATTTTTTGCTTCTCCAGTTTGGGGTGTGCATGAGCGTATGTGTGCGTGCATGCATGTGTTTGTTTGTAGTCCTGGGTCCTGAACCCAGGGCTTTGTGCATACTCAGCAGGCACTCTTCCCCTGAGGTGTACCCCTAGTCCTTGGTGTTTGGGGGGGGGTCTCCCTGTGTATAGCTCAGGCTGACCTGAACTCACCGTCTTCCTGCTTCAGCCCCAGCAGTTTCCATATATTCTTATTGCCTCATGCTAACATGGTAAACCCAGATGATTCATTTGAACATCTGGTATTGACTTTTTTGTGCTATTGCTAGTGACTTTTTCTTTCGTGTCTGGAGATAACACCTCCAAAGCACCAGAACCAAAAAGAAATATAGGCAAACAAAACTGTGTCAGACTTTGTGTAACAGAGGAGGCAACTAAGAGACAGCCTTAGAATTAGAGTTAGAGAAAATAGTTGCAAAGTATACATCTGACAAGACTATTTGGAATTACAAGAAATGGCAATAGAAAAAAACCCAGATGATCCAATTAAAAATGACAGTAGACCTAAGTAGATACTGCTCAAAAGAAAATACACAAATGGTCAATAGATACATGAAAAAAATGTTCAAATCAATAATCATGAAAATGCAAATCAGAGCCACAATGAGAAGCCACTTCACCGCTGAGAATGACTGCTCTCATGCAGGTGAGAGGTCAAGTGCTAGTGACAGTTTGCAGAGAGCACACTGTTGGCAGGCATGCATGTTAGTATAGCTGTCATGACAAACTAGAACATCATATGATCTGCGGCCCATTCCTAATTGATACACACAAGAGTGCTATTCGGCGATAATGGAGATGATATCCTGCATCTGCAACAGTGTGGGTGGAGCTAGAGGCCATTGTGTCCAGTGAAATGAGCCTGCCTCAGAAAGACAGGTATGGTACACTTGGTCTCACTCACACGGGGGTTCTGAAAACAACTTTTCACAGAAGCTGAAATTAGAGTGGTGGTCAGCAGAGGTTAGGAGAGAGAAGAGGGAATGAAGAAAGAGTGTTCAGTGGGTCTCAGCTAGAGTTACATAGGAGCAAGAAATTCATTTAGTGTGTGCTAAAGCTTCTTACATTTCTCCACTAAGATCCCTTTTCACCCAGTAAATTTTTCATGGTCCCAGCTATAGCGGTATTTGTAAGTGTACAAATAAAACATTTACTGATAGTAAATCATCAAGAAATGTATTCTAAGCTGGGCATGGTGGCACATTGCCTTTAATCCCAGCACTCTGGAGGCAGAGGCATGTGGATCTCTGAGTTCAAGGCTGTCTGGGCTACAGGGAGACCCTGTCTCAGAAAGACCAGTGGTCCGGGGGGGGGGTAGGAAGGGAGAGAGGGAGGGAGGGAGGGAGGAAGGGAAGGAAGGAGAGAGAAAAGAAGAAATGTATTTTCAAAGAAAGACAATTCTTTGGCTACATACATTCTTATCATTCATTAATGGTAAAAATCAAAATTTCACACTAATGAGATGGATGTGCTCATTTATTTTTACATAAAAAGTTAAATCTTGACTGGGCATGGTAGCTCATTGCTGTAATCCCAACACTTGGGAGGCAGAGGCAGGAGAACTGCTCTGAGTTTGAGGCCAGCCTGGTTTATACACCAAGTTCCAGACCAGCTAGAACCACATAACGGGAGACCCTATCTCAACAAACAAAAAGAATTAAATCTTGGCTGAATATTTAACACTGCAGGATATACAACATCTTCAGTGTTTTTCAGAGCTGACCAGTATTTTGATTTTATGATCATCAATTCCAAGATCGCCACTTTAAGTACTACTGTACAAAATGGCACAAGTGTGTTTAGGACCATTTTGGGAATTGTTGGAAATTCTGTCCTAGTCCCAAGCCAGAATTCATTGAATAACTTTATAAAACTTCTCAGCAACTCAAACAGTAATTTAAATCAGACACTCTAACACAACACAGTCTAAAGAGGTGCTTGTTTGATACGCTGAAGAACGGTGGTAGTTATCAAAATTTTTGTTCACACGATGAAACAACTTTCTACGAGAGAAGAGAACTTTGTATGTGCAGTAAAAACACTCCAGTTTATAACATTTGAGCAGAGGTGTTTCAGGCAGTGTTCACATGACAGAGTGTGTACCCAGTGCAAAGTGTGTTTATTGTATGTTCAGAATGAAAGCTGCAGTGAAGTCCTGCTACACAACACAGGCAAGTTCTACCAGAAACACCCTGGACTCACTATGTGTTTGGCTTTGAATTGGTGAATTTGTTTTTAATCGTTCAGAAGCCTTTTATTGTTACCAAAAATCTTTTTACGGACCCACATTCTACATGGAGTTGTGACTCAGTTGGTCAGTAGAGTGACCATGTGCTGTTTCTCTCTCTCTCTCTCTCTCTCTCTCTCTCTCTCTCTCTCTCTCTCCCAGCCTAGGTCAGTAGAGTGACTATGTGCTGTTCTCTCTCTCTCACAAGCTAAAAGGATTTTTTAATGTTTTTAATACAAAAAAATAATAAATGTTTAAAGAGATATGTGAGGGGAACATTGCTAATACCTCTGAGAGCCTCTTTTTTACTGGCTATATGTTTTAGCCTTTTAGTAAGAGGGTTTTCTTTCTGGTATAAATCTTTTCCATGAGACATAGTTGAAGTGCATGTAAGTAGTAGTGTTATCTTTGAAAAAAAAGTGTATTGCAGAGTATATGTGCTATCTTTGGACAGATTGTTTAATGTTCTTAAGAAAAACGTAGTGTAATTGATTGGAACGTGTTGTGAAGCCAGCGTTCTGGGTTTACCTGAAAACACAACCTTCTCCAGTGACCTCAGAACAGCTGTTAAAGACCCGTTTAACAAGTCACTGTAGAGACACTGCTGACCAGTGTAAACCTTTAGCCCTGTGGAGAAAACAACCAAAAGCTCATATTCTTTTCTGTTTTTTTTTTAATTTCTTGAAATGTAATATATCTAGTAATGTCACAAAGTTAAAGAAAGAATATTTACAAGTATTAGCAACAGTGAAGATTACAGTTAGTGATTTTGTAAGAAAAGATAAAAAACAAAAGTAGTGCAAATTATAAATTAAGGTGGTAGAGACAGGCTCACATACAGTAGTGAGCGGAGCACATGTAAATGCACTGAGTTCTCTAGTCAGAAATAAAACGTCATAGATTCTGTGTTTAAAATCCAGATTGTGGGGCTAGAGAAATGGCTCAGCAGTTAAGCGCACTTTCTCTTACAGAGGACCCAGTCAATTCCCAGCACCCACATGGAGGCTACCAACTGTCCATAATTCCAGTTCCAGGGGATCTGACGCCTTCTTCTGACCTCCGAGGGCATTGCACAACACGGGTGCACTGACACACATGCAGGCAATACGCTCATACACATAAAAATAATAAAATATTTTTTAAAAATCTAGATAGTGAGGGCTGGAGAGATGGCTTGGGTTAAGAGCACTGATTGCTCTTACAGAGGACCCAGGTTCAAGTCCCAGCACCCACATGGCACTTATGAACCATCTTTAACTCCAGTTCCAGGGAAATCGAAGCCCTCTTCTGACCTCTGAGGCATTGCATGACACAGGTGCACTCTAATACATGCAGGTAATGCACTCATACACATAAAATAAAAATAATAAAATACTAAAAAAAAATCCAGATAGTGGATCCAAGAGGTGGTTCAGCTGGTGAAGTGCTTGACATGAAAGCGGGAGGACCTGTGTTTTATCCCTATCACCATGTGAAAACTTGGCACGCTGGTGTGGACATACAATCCCAGTCCCCGGGAGCAGAGGTGAAGTGGATCCCTAGAGCTTTCTAGTCAGCCAGTCAATGGAACAAGTGAGTGCCAAGTTCAGTGAGAGACCCTGTCTCTCAAAAAATAAGGTGGAGAGCAATTGAGAAAGACATCTCTGACCTTCGCATGCATGTGCACATATGTGTACATACACAAACATGTATATACACACAAACACAAAAAGCCTGGACATAGGCTGTTAATAGCCATATTTAAAGCTTAAGAGCTCCTAGAAGTTTATATAGCTGATACATCTATATTAGAATCAGACAGAATACCTTAAGCCAGAAAATATTTGGTTCATGGAGACTTACCACACAATAGTAAATGCTATAGTTTATCAAGATGGTTTTGATACACCATCAGAATAATTGAAGGAAATATATAGAAAGGAGAATTTGGTAAATACTTTGACATACTCTGAGGTTTAGACAACAACCAGGTAAAGTATTAAAAGATCTGGTCAACCCATAAGCTGACTTGGTAGACATGTGTAGATTCTGAATCCACAGTTAAAGAACATAATGTTCCTGGGTAAAAGTCTGCAACCCTTTTTAGTACAGGAGCCAGTGGGGTGGAATATTTTAGCTTATTGATTTTTTTATTTTTATTTTTATTTATTTATTTATTTTTTGGTCTTTTTGAGACAGGGTCTCCCTGTAGCCTCAGCTGTCCTGGAATTCACTATGTAGACCAGGCTGGCCTTGAACTCACAGAGATCCACCACCTTTGCTTCCTGAGTGCTAGGACTAAAGGTCCATGCCACCACACCCAGCTTAATGTTTTAGTTTATTAACATATTACAAGATGTTTTTTAAAAGCACTCGCTGATCAGGGCTGGAGAGATGGCTCAGTGGTTAAGAGCACTGGTTGCTCTTGCAGAGGACCTGGGTTCACTTCCCAGCATGCACAAAGTATCTAACAACCATCCTAACTCCAGTTCTAGGGAATCCCATGCCCTCTTCTGACTTCCAAGGGCACTGCATGACATGGGTGCACTTACATATATGTACACACAATACACTCATACACATAAAAAAATAAATAATAGTAAAATATCTTTTAAAAAACTTTCACTCCCGGGCGTGGTGGTGCACGCCTTTAATCCCAGCACTGGGGAGGCAGAGGCAGGTGGATCTCTGTGAGTTCAAGGCCAGCCTGGTCTACATAGTGAGTTCCAGGATAGCTGGGGCTACAGGGAGACCCTGTCTCAAAAAGACCAAAAAAAACAAAAAGAAAAGAAACTTTCACTCATCAAATAAAAAGCTCGTGGAGATTAACATTTGGATTTCCTATAATTTTATAAATAACGAGACGCCATCTGTTGCTCTTGTTTTTCCTCAACTGCTTAAAACTGTTCTTAGTTTATAGAGTGTAGAAAAATATTGAGTGGCTGGATTTCTTCCCCAGGCCATCATTTGCCAACCTGCTGAGGTTTTTGGTAAATCAGTAAGTTTATAAGCATGATGATAGGTCATTATCTCAGAACAGAGAAGTTGGCTTAGAGGTTAACAGAAAGACACGAATTTAAGAACGCCCTGCGCGAGCAGAGCAGGGGTTCATACCTGTAGTCTCCACACTGTAGGGAAGCTGAGCCGGGACGCTTGCCATGACATAAAGGACAGGCTCCCCTACATAGTGAGTTTCGGGCTGGCTTGGACTACACTGTAAGACCCTATCTCACAAACAAACTCTCCCAACTCTCTGCATGTTTGAAAAAAATTAAATGTATATTAAATAGTTTCCAGATTAAAGCATAAAGTTCATGACTATCTATGAAATCCCATGCCTGGGGGTCTAGAGAGACAGCTCAGTGGTTAAGAAAGCGCATACTGCTCATCTAAGGAGCCTGAGTTCCCTTCCCAGCATCCACATTGGCCATCTCACAATCACTTGTAATTCCAGTTCTAGAGGGTCTGATGCTCTTCTGATGTCTGTAGGCATCTTGTACCCACATGCCCACAAGCAGGCACACATAAACACATAGTTAAAAGTAATAAAACAAATATTTTTTTAATCTGAAGTTAATAAAAACATGGATAAATGATTAAAAATCTTAAGATGAAAGGAATGAATCACAGTCTTTCTCCCAGTGGTGAGGATCATGCTTGCTAGGCAAGGCTCTACCACTAACTAAAGTACATCTGTAGGCCCAGCCTGTTATTTATACACTAATTCCCCAGTATCTGAAGATACTCAAGAATAATGTCATACTGGAACATCTGTAGGAGTAATTTACTACAGAAAGTTAAAGGAAGCAAAAAATAGCATCTGAAAACATGTATTAAATACATTTATAAACTCAATACCAGAGTGTAAGCAATGTTTTCCTCTTAGACTTCCATCCCTTCATTTTGATCAAAAGATTCTTCTCTGCAATACTCCAAAGGAATGAGAAACTTAGACCTTTGTTATTTTGGTAAGTGACCAACAGACATTGATGGAGAATCTGTTACTAATCCTGAGTGGGAGGCTGTGGAAACAGTGGGTAAAAGCAAGAAACCTTGGGGCCAGACATCGTTGAAAGGATTCTTGGCTCTGTCAGTCACGTACTGTTTTGTGAAGAATAAGTCACTTCACCCTTCTGTGCCTCGAGTTTCTTTGTAGATGGGTGACACTACTTCCCTAGATGGTATTATTCGGCTTAATGCATTAAATTACAAAAGTCCTTCCAGTAGTGCTGACACATAGTACATGCTGTTTTGTCCCAGTACTTCTTAGTGTCCTTTCCTTCCTTCCTTCCTTCCTGTCTTCTTCCCCTTCCCTCCTGTCTCCAGAACTCATGGTGTTGCATATATTTAGCAGTCATTCTACCACTGAGCTACATCCCCAGCCCTTGCTGATTTGGGGGGGGGGGTGTTTACTTAAGGTTGTTTATTTGTTTAGATAGTTGAGACACAGTCTTACTTTGTAGCAGAGGTTGGCCTGGAGCTCATGATTGTGTCCTGAAACTTGCAATCCACTCACATGCTGAAACTATAGGAATGCACCGCCATGCTTGGTTGCTAAGCTTTTAAAATAATTCCTTTTATATTGTTGTCCGTAGTCCATCTTGATCTTAACCAAAAGTCTTAAGTTAATGACTATATCCAGAGTTTGATAAAAGTGTTTTCCCTTTCATGTTACAAATTGACCCTTCTCTGTATGTCTCTAAGGTGAGCGATTTCACATGGAGCCATGATGGGACACAAGCACTTATTTCGTATCGAGATGGGTTTGTCCTGGTTGGTTCTGTCAGTGGACAGAGACACTGGTCATCTGAGATCAACTTGGAAAGCCAGATCACATGTGGCATATGGACTCCTGATGACCAGCAGGTAATGCTTCTGGGATGTCGGTGTACTGTTACCATGGGAAGTTGGGAGGAAGGCAGGAGCGGGAGCACATGCACAGACTAAAGCACTGACAGCACTGAGGATAGAAAGCTTGTGGAGCCATGTGCAGGGGCCTCAGTTCCACCCCAGCATTGAAGAAAAACAACTGCAGAGGAGAAAAACAGTAAAACTGTTTAGGTAAAAATTAAAGTAAAAAGTTTGAATGAAACTAAGATTAAAGAAATGTTTTTTCTTTTTTCTTTTTTCTTTTTTTTTTTTTTTTTTTTTTTTGTCTTTTTGAGACAGGGTCTCCCTGTAGCCCCACCTGGCCTGGAACTCACCATGTAGACCAGGCTGGCCTGGAACTCACAGAGATCCACCTACCTCTGCCTCCCAAGTGCTGGGTCTACAGGCGTGTGCCACCACACCTGGCCTTTTTAAAAATATTTTATTTTTGTGTGTATGAGTGTATCGCCTGAATGTATGTAAGTGTTGTGCAAGGCCTGTGGAGGTCAGAAGATCATGGTGTCATATCCCCTGGAATTAGAGTTCCAGATGGTTGTGAGCCACCATGTAGGTGCTGGAACTCAAACCCGGGTCCTCTGCAAGAGCAACCAGTGCTCTTAACTGCTGATCCATCTCTCCAGCCCAAGAAATTGTATTTTCTATCAGTGTGGTAAACGTCAAGTTAATGTTTTAATTATATATGATATTCATAGATACTTACTTTAAAATCCACATAAATAGCCAATTGATCAATAGATAACATGATTTTTTTTGACAGAAGAGGAAGTTCAACTAGTTGATAATCCATATGGTGGAAGAATATTCTCTGTGTAAACATTAAGATTAACACAGTGAGGAAATATGTTTTTTTACTCAAGAACAAAAATAACACAGGTGATTTTACTGGTTATTTGACATGAGTAAGAATAAATAATCATTCTCATTCTCTCTGGTCATGTTGTGTATCAGACCTTCAGGGTGCAGTTTTTCAGAGCCTATCAAAATGTTATAGACTATCACCCACCCTGATAATATATTCCTGGAAGTTTTAAAGGTATTTATTATTTATTTATTTAATGTTTATGAGTGTATCTGCCTGCATCTATGTAAGTGCACCCATGTTGTACAATATCCTCAGAGGTCAGAATAGGGCATTGGATCCACTAGAACTGGAGTTCCGGATGGTTGTTAACTACTATGTAGGTGCTGGGAATCGAATGTTGGTCCTCTGCAAGAGCAGACAGTGCTCTTAACTGCTGAGCCATCTCCAGCCCCATCAGTTCTGGAACTTTTTTAAAAGAAGAAAAGTGGGGAAAAAAAATCAGGAAAAATCTTTTAAGGCATATATATGATGATTAAAATGTGCCCCCAGCTTCTTGACCAGCAGTAGAACAGGTATGTAAGTTATGGAGTAACCACTAGAAACAGATTAAGATGTCAAAGCAGAGAGTTCAGGGCAAGTCAGCAAATTGTAGGTCATAATTATAAAAACTGTAGAGCCTTATAAAGGCTCTTGGATGTTAAATGAAAACTTCATTATGTGAAGTGGCAGGTGACGTGCTTCCACATCATAAAGTAACCTAAAGAAACCCATGAACATAGTAAAAAGAAGTAGGAAGGAGGGAATCCAGATAGCATAAGTAGTTCTTCTGTGGCATTAGCCTCTGCTTGGTTTTCTGAAATTCGGTTAGACATTTTCTTTGTTGTCCCCATTTGATTTAATGATAAAATATAGTACCCCAAATTATATATTGCTAATTCATAAATGCTTCTTCTAAAAAAAAAAAAATTATGACACATAATAACATTAACAAATTAAAAAAATTTTTTAAACAATTAAAAATATATATATATACATATATATAAGGTTGACTAATTTAAACCTTTACGAATATAAAATGAGTGTTTTCCAAGATTTCACACCAAAGATGTAATAATAATTAAAAAAAGACAAGCTTTGCATTCTGGAGCTGGTCTCCTTTCTGAGGCGCATTTACCCAAATTTTCTCTCATCAGCACATTCACTCCTGTCTCCGTTGTCTCACTTAAGGCAAGTGTTAATTTCTTTTCTCAAAGTTAGTGCTATTACATTTTTATGAACTCTCACTTTTCTTTCCAGAGGCTTCTAATTCTTCAGGAGCATTTTTGTGTTTCTGTCAAATACTTGGCTTTTTTAGGAGTTGCGCTCTCCTAGGGGCTCACTGTCCTGGGAGAAGCCCTCCTGCTGCCTCTCCTGCATTTGTTTTCTCATGGGTCCTGCCTCATTCCCAGGGCATTTGTAATGCTCAAATGGGAGGACTTGTGAAAGCACTTAATATGCAAAGTTGCCTGGAGGGATGGAACCCACCCTACCTGCAAGGCTCACTTCCTGGTATGCTGTGCTAGCCAGTGTCCCTAACAGACTGCACTTGTGTGCACTTGCAGTGTGGCAAGTATAGGTGCTAGGGAGAATGCCACAGTAGGGCAATGTGGTTTCTCCCTTGGGTGCTTATGGAGTTGTAGAGAGACATGCTGTACCTGGCAGTGCATGGTTCTGCATAGGCAGACACCCCCAAGCCAAGTCTGGGGGACCAGAATGCATGACATGCAGCAGAGCATAAGGGATCCACAGCACTATGTAGATGCCCCCACCCCCCAGCACAGGCTTCGTGCTGTTCTCACCACTCTGAAGCAGTGGAAATGGGCTGAAGCAGCAGGTGGGCCATGGCCATGACTGCAGATGGTGAGGCACCTGTCAGAACACAGCTGTGTGGGAAAGGCTCCTGGCCTCCAGCCTCTGTCTTCATGACTGCTTTCACCCCCAGGCAGGATCTCTGCCCAGTAGAATGCTCACCTGCCTTTCAGAAAAGGCTTACAGAGCAATGAAGAATGTGAATCTGCAGATGAAATTGCATAGAGCTGTGATTTGGCTACTCCACAGGCCTGCTTGAGCTGGGCAAGGAAAAATAAAATTCATTCACCTCTGTCAGTTATTGGTTGCTTTGACCAAATACCCCAGAAAACAGAAGAGAAAGGATTTAATTTGGCTTATAGTTCTAGAGATTTCGAGCCTTCATGGACTGGTTCCCTGTTAGGGGGCCTTGGTGAGGCAAGGTGAAAAGACAAGGAGGGGTAGGGCTGTATGGCCAGTGGCAGTCAGAGTGCACACGGAGAGATGGGAAGCCCAGGTGAAGAGAGGCATTTCAAAGACACAGTGCCAGTGGCACCTTCCTCCAACCAGGCAGGCGCAATTGCACCTTGCACAATTCAGCCACCTCCTGTTAGTCTATTCAGACTTTGAAATTATCATTGAACTAAATTATGGATTAGGTCAGAGCCCTCATTACCCAACAGTGTCTGGAAACCCCCTCACAGGTACACCCAGAGGTATACTTTATTAATCTCCTTAGTACCTCTCTATCCAATCAAGTTAACAATTAACAATCAAGATTAACTCTCACACCCTGTCTTGCCATTGTTTCCTGTCTTTTACATGATTTGAAAATTACTAATGAACAAAGAATATGAAGACTCTTGAAGTGCCAGACTTATGTTGGTAATTAGTGACTTAACTCTAGCCTTGGGCTTGTGACATGGATAACAGGTCTCTTGTGTGGGTCTGAATCTGGACATCAAAGTTAGAACTACTAGTGCTAGCTCTGTCTCTCCTGTTTCCCAAAGAACTCAATATATGGTCAGAACAGCATCCATCAGGAAGCCTTCCCCATCACATTCTGAGATATTTCAGGTTATGATAGGATTTTAGAATATTTCCTGTCAGCTACTACAAATCTAAGCAGTCTCAGTTTTAAGTGAGTTTCAAGTCTAGTTATTTTCCTATTTGTCATATGCTTTCTTCATTCTAGATTGGCAGTTTATATACTGAGAGACAGAGACAGACAGATAGACAGACAGACTGCTTTGAATGAATATCAGATGCAGATTGTGGTCCTGTTCCTTAGAAACGTGTGTGTGTGTGTGTATATATATATATATATATATATGTTATACACATGTACATGAATATATCACTTTGGGGAGTTCATTTCTGCCTTATCCAGTGGTGATGGTTTAGAGATGTTATTTTGAAATAATTGCTCCAGTTTGCTGTTCACTGTAAGTATGATAAGTATGATCACTGTACACAAAATCCAAAAGAATACATTCTCTTTAAAGTCAACAAATAGCATGCTGCCATATTTTTGCTCTCTGTTATCCTTTTTTACTCCCTTACTCTTTACACACACATTTTTATAGTACATTTTAAAAAATAAATTGTAGGAGGTTGGAGAGATGGCTCAGTGGTTAAGAGCACTGACTGCTCTTGCAGAGGACTCAGGTTCGATTCCCAGCACCCACATGGCACCTATGAACCGTCCTTAACTCCAGCTCTAGGGGAGTCTGAAGCCCTCTTCTGACCTCCGCGGCATTGCATGACATGAGTGCACTCACATACATGCAGAAAATACACTCATACACATAAAATAAAAATAACAAAAATTTTTTGAAAAATGCAGAACTTTGAGCCAGGCATG